GTATAACAAGAGGCATCTGGCCCGCAGCATCAACCTTGTCCAGCTGGCTGCCTGTAATACGTAGTGTGACCGACGCTGTTCTTCTGCTGTTAGAAACACGTCTTGCGCTACGGTGATCCGCTAAAGCCCATACAGCGGGTGTCGTGTTGCTATCAGTCGCTGGTGAGTTGTTCGGGATAGTAGCGGCGTATCCGAGTGTTTCTTTGAGGGGAACCCGATATGAGGACGTGTATCAGCGAAAGATCCATTTTGGTGAGCTGCAACCTTGCTGCTATAGCGATGCAGTATGGTGAATAAGGCATGCTGCAATTGTACCCATTGAAGCGCCATTCGGTAGCTCTTTGCGGCGTATTGTACTTGGGTGTGCATGTGAAAACCCACTCTGATTCCCGCAATACTTTCAAGACGGCGACCCTCATTGCACTTACTGACCTATGATGGTGGAAGTAGCGCTGGGATGTTGACTATATCTGCAATATTGAAAGCTTGGTGAGAAGAGCAGGAACTTCGGTATCGAGATGGGGAACATCTACGATACCCATGTTGTCCAGTCACCCAGGCCAGCCGGGGTCAATCTGGTATCTCGAGCGGCGCATTACAACACGTCGACATGACCAAGAAGTTGAGCGTCTGTTACGTTCTTGTCGGGTAGTTCTGCTCTCGTCGACCAATCGAAAAAGGACTCTTCGCTGCTCACATCCATGACACAAATTGCGAATAGTGCTCAGCGATCAGTTGACGTCGCAGCTTCACTTTCAGTCCCAGTCAAGCATATGCTTGCCCATCTTTTAATTGAGAAGCGTGAGTATAAAGAGGCAATCTTGACCCGATTTCTGTGATTACAACGTCGTATACAGGGCATCTTTGCTGGTAGTAGCGAGATGACGCAAGGCGTTCTGCGACTTCTAGTCTGGTAAGGAAAGCAATGGGCAACTCAGGGTAGAGGGATGCAAGACCCCCTTTCGGACCAGATTTTCGCTGCGACTGCTCATATGAAAGCGTAGGTGCGTAGTGTGAGTTCAACTTTGAAGAACATGCGAACGTATCAAGAGATCCTGATCTGCTCTTGATGCAATTAATGGAACCGGTGCGCGAGGTGTCGATGATGAAGGATGATGTTGCCAAGATGGGCGAAGAGGACTCGGCTCGGGAGTGCGGCGGCAACCAATCAGCAACTGGGAAAGTCCGCAGCACTAAGTTACGTGCGCCTTGGCGGCAAGCCCTAGTGCCCGAGTTACGCGGACGCACCTCAACTACCCCACCGTCGCCATTCCTTATACACCGTGCCTTATCCATCTCATTGTGGCAGCAACATGCTCGGCTGCTACATTCGCGCATTTCGCAGTGTCTCTCACGGCGCAGCCAAGAAGATCAGGCTCAGGGCCACGACTATGCCCAGATTTACCCGTCATGAGGATAGCTGGGAGCACCGCTAGCCCAGGCAGTCATTCGCGTCGCATCGCATCGCTCGCAACAACCCAATCCCACCATTTCTACACACCAAGTTCATCCGCAACACGTCCAGTAACGATCGAGGTGGTCAGCGCGACACCCGAGGCCCATGGTCTTCGCGCACCGCTGATCCCTTTGCTGAGTGACTTTGGTCGCGAGGATGTCCACAGCAGTCTCGATCAGCGGTCAGTCACTTCTACAACACTACTTTCAACTCCCTCAGGATTATCTCTAACAGTTGCAGATATGCGCAACAAATCTACATGCTCGCCTCAAAATGCGGCTCTCCACCAACAACACCCACGATCGCGACGCTTCTCCTCCGCACGCACTCTCCTACCACCTCAAAACGACCTGCCCCACCTGCTCGTCGTAACGCAGGATAGATGCGCTGCAGCCGCTACGCCATGTGACGTCTTCCAGATGGAACCTGTGTCACTCTGCCATGGAGTCTGGATGGCAGGCCCGTCAACCACGTCTGCGACCACTACCGCCACCATACAAAAACGGTAGTTCCTCCACGAGAAGCGGGTAGTACCCATAAACGATGCGACGAAATCATTCGGGGCGATTTGGCGTCCCACGCGACAAACACATGGGGGTCATCGGCGGTCGGACCGAGGAGGTGAGCATCTTCGAGATGTTGGCCCATGACGGATTACATGTGCGCGCCATGGCTGCTCGTGTCGGTGTAGACACCTGAGCAGGAAGAACCCAGGCATTGAGTGCGGTCAAAAAAGTGGAACTACTCCCTGTCTCCCGCGTCGCGATCGCTGCAATGCGCACCGGTCCATCGGATAGCCCGGGTGGCCAGGCCAACATCCCCGTCCATCCACCCGCTACAATATCAAACTCCAGAACTCAGGAAGGCGATCACCAAGTGGGCGACTGCCCCAGCAGGTGGCGACTCTTCGACGGTAGAAGGCGGTATCTTGGCTTTCGCAATCTCCGGCGAGGCGGCAGCGCCAGAGAGATTTGGGCGGTGCTTCATGCTGAGACCCCGGCTGACCCCATTGTAGGTTTCGACACATTTGCCGGTGGCCCAGCGACCCAGCGACCAGAACGACTACGCAATGACAAGCCTGCGACTACTCGCTCTCCAACCATGACTTCATCGACCGGAGAGCAATTGCCTTTTAATCTCGATCGCAACCGATGCTCAGAGTCGCCGTCAACAACACACAGCACGCGGAGATGATGTGAGGGCATACGAGGCGACTGCCCCTCGGTGTGCCAATTGCCTGCAGCTGCCACCGGTCCAGCGCAGTCCAGCCATACGCAACCACAGACGACGAGGACAAGGTACACACGGCTCCCGGTGCATGGCCTGATGAGGACTGAACCGGAGCCAGACAGCTAGAGGCTAGCTCATTTGGCCCATACTATCAGGAACACATCTCAGTTTGCTTGTTGCGACAAGATCGGTTGCGCCGTAGCGACTACAATATTGACATCCGGCAGCACGATAGCACGATACGTATGCGACCGCCTTTTACATAACCCCATAGCACCGACAGACCACCGTTCTTGTACGCTCGATCTCGCATACGATTGCGACACTAAGCCTCTTTCCTGAGCCTCCCTCGCCCGAGCCACGACGAACACCTCACCTAGCTGGTCGACACTAGACGTACAAGGATGAGGGATATGACTGTTGGGCTGGAATGGACATTCGTACGTGATCCGGATAGCGAGAGACGACAGTCTCGTCACGATGCAAGCATGGCAGGTCAGCCTTTTGAACGCAAGTGGCACTTGTGCGGCATTTGAGGCTGGACTTCGTTCGACCGCACCACCAGGGAGGGGGTTGGAAGAAGTCCTTGCTTCCGCTGCTGCTGTAGGGGGATGACATGTTCTGCGGGGGTAGTGGCGGGTGGTTGTGCTGCAGCTATGGTGGATGTAGAGTATGCGCGCGTCTGGCAGACTGGATATACGCCCCGTAGCGTAGACTAATTCGGAACCACTGCTGCGTGTCATATTCCTTTCCGACGCCCGCTCTGCTTTCGTCCATTGCGTCCAAAGCTTTGACCCTGTCATTTGCGAGCGTTTATAGCCACGCTGCTGTGCCACATCAACGTCTTTCTTCCTGCTGGCACCAAGTCTGACTGAAGAGCATGCTATCAGGCCTGCTCTCCATCCTCGCATCTCGTCCTCGAACAATCCACATCAGTCTGAATATGCCTCGGTCTCTGTGTCCAGGGCGCGGCATCACACCATCGTCTTTGCGAGCGCGTCAAGTCCCCATCGCAGACGTGTCATGTACTCCGCGTCGAGCCAGTATATCTCCTGCAAAGTTCTTGCACGTTACCAGGAAAATTAAAACTTCAATGGGTACTCGGGCGCTATGCGGAGAGCGTGGTTGCGGGTGAAGGGCAATATCATGAGCGCTTTACATCGACTTCATCTTGGATGTCAAGCTTGGCTTTCGGGTTCGCAGTAATGCAGTGGTTCTCCGCAAGAGCACAATGAGGTGCTTTGTGGTATTTCGCATATGCTCTATAGCATTTGTGAAGACATTGAATTAGTTAGAAAAGGATGCGTTATCGAATTCGAACAAACTTTCAGGGCTGCGTGAGAAAGGCTGAAAGCTTGTAATTAAGTAACTGCAAGGATTGACGACAAAGCTTGAATGCATGCTCCCCGGGTAGACTGTTTCATCAATCCAGGGCACGCTGTTCTTGCTATTCTTGATTTCAGGATCGAGCCAGAGAAGCGCACCAAATGAGAAATATGTCGACATCGGATAATTAAAATGTCTATACACAAATGTTCCGACGATTATGTCACGCGACACACAACGAAACTGTGCGCAGATTAGTTCCTCTCATTTGTCATCGTCGCATTTGTAGTTGCATCAACCTTTTGCGCGGCTTCACGCCAGATGGCTGAGAGAGACTTCGCCACATGTCTGCAGCCTCTACAAGATGCCGGAGCAGATATCGCGCTCGCTTCCGCAACTCCAAATTAACGACTTAAATTGTTCCTTCTTTATATTGGGCTTTTTTATGCTTAGGTCACAGCTCGAATGGTTTCGCGGACTCGGCCACCTCCTCAAGAATATATCAGAGCATCGCGTTCAGCGCAACTTTGTAATCGCATCGTGAGGCCAATGTTCCGTTCCTGCCGACAATATCTTACTGATCAACTTTGATCGACTGCACCAAGACAAACTAGGTGATCTGAGTGTCATCAAGCGCAAGGCTTAGGAGTTTACGGGCGAAGAGTCGATAACGCCGCCACACACCATGCTGCAGATCAAGGCTTCGATATCCTATGCCGGGATATTCTTGCGCGAGAGCTGGGGGGGGACCAACTTAGAACGAGGGTAATCAATGAAGAGTGTGATGTCCACTGATCGTTTTTGCGCATCGGATTCGCAGCCGTCCAGTCAATCACGTACCATCCTTGAGCGGTCAGGGTAAGGACGAGGAAGTGATGTAAGATACGACTCAGCCCGAGAAGCAGTTGGCAGGAACTAATAATAACATCAACATGCGTGAGGTGTCAATATGTCAGGAGGAAGTGTCGTTCATTCATGTTCTTCTGGCTCAACGGCGACGGCGTCGCTTTCCAACACCCTTCGCCAGATCTTCGCCCACCCTCTTCACCCGAGTCTCAGCAGCGCCATCATGACCAACCCACTTCCTCAAGTCCAGCGTGGCTAAACCCCTGTCGACGTTGCTGCGCGTCGCTTTGGTGACATCCGCAGCATCCTGCTTTGCTTTCCACAGCGCAACCTTCTCTGCGGCCGTCTTGCGCTTCTTCGGCTTGCGCTTCTTGGGTGATGGTGATGATGGTGATGGCGATGACATTGAGAGTGGTGGAGACGAGAGACCTGATGAGGTTTCATCCTCATCATCGGGTGGTAGTGGTGTATCGGAGGGTGGGAGGGGAAGCTCTTCATCCCCATCCTCATCCTCAAACGTGCGCCGGATCGGCGAGAGAAGTGAAGGCTCCATGCCCGTAGGCCAATCAACAAATGCAGATGAAGACTCTTCCTGTGGTGGTGTTGAGGCTCGTCGTGCGCGCTCAACGTCGGCTTCGGTCTCACCCTCAGCCCCAGACATCGGCACGCTGCTGCTGCTTGGGTGCGGCGCTGATGACATACGTAATGGCGGGGTCGGCGGTCTTGATGATGGCTTGCGCTTGGCAGCGGTGGAGAGGGTTTGCTGGGCGTGGGAGGGGACTGGTGGACGTGATGGGGTGGAGAGAGAGCTGCCCATCGTGAAGAATTGTGATGAAGGTGAAGTGAAGTGTAGTGCTGGAGAATGCGTACGTCCCGCGGAAATTGCTCATTATATGGTGACGTGTGGGCTCATGCGTCACGCCATAATCTGCTTCGTTGAGGAAGGAAGTGACGCCCTCCTGCCTCAGACTCTGAACGCTGCGTCCTGGAGGCAGGAGGCAACCACCACACAACTGTCTTTGAAGGCACGGAAGACATCTTCAAATTGCACGTCCACACTAAACTCCAATGGATAAGGCAAAACAGGAGAGATGCAGCCTGTGGTCATGCAGCAAAAAGTGCAAAACAGAGAAGACCAAACTGAATCTGCAACTCACTGCCTACCGCCACAAGACTACCTACCAACATCTTAACCCCTACTCTGGTTCGGGTGAAAGACCACAAGACGCAAGCCCGCCATCATGTGTTATCGGCCCAGCAAGCTGGAGTAGATCAAATAGCAGTAGACAGGAGCATTACACCATTACGCGGACAACCCTGCTCCCCAACGCTGACCAGAGCGAAGAGGCCATCAATAGACATTCGAAACTCCACAATGGTCGAACACGAGGCTCGAACAGGGTGCGTCGCTTCTAGCGCCGTCAGTCTGACTGGACATGTTTGAACATGTTCGATGACCGACTCGAGAATTGTTCGGACCATATGCAGCCACCTGTGCACAGGTACCCCGTTCGCACGCAATGCACTGCGAGCTGGTATAACTGTCTGCCCGCTTGCCCTTGCACACATCTCTGCCCGAGTAATATTCCCGTTGAGCTGGAAAGAGGTGGGTGGCTCAAAGCTGTGGCCTGATCTGATGCAGCAGGAGCAGGGTGTGGGCGCGACCTCAACGTCCAGCGGGGCAAGAGCAACGCCATCACCAACATCACAATTTCTGGCCGCTCCGGTGAGTTCGCGTGTCCGGGAAGACCACCATTATGGCCAAAACGGAGAGCTTGATGCGATATTGAGTGATTGTCCAATCACAAACGTATGGCATCTTCTCCTACTGGATCGTGCTGGTGTCGCGAGTGCAGCAAGACGAACTTGGGGTATGCGAACAGCTTTCGTTCGATCACTTGCGCGCTCGCATAGTCCTTCAACAACGTTCATGCTTACGCTGTAACCAAGGCTTCAGCCGCTCGCACCAAGCCGCTTAACGCGTGACATTGCGGCGGGCGGCGTTCAGTACCTGGCGTCATGCGACATCAGATGAGCTAGCGACAATCGCATCCGCCGATGCTTTCGGTTGGTGTTGAGTACGTCCAAGCGGATCATGTCGCTCTCTATGCATTTTTGAACTAACATAAATCCATTGGAGATGCAGCCGCTGATCAAGCCGGAGAAGTCGCACTCGGTCCAGTCTGATATCGTGGAAGATGGCCCAAACGAGTGGCAACCTGCGATCAGGGCTTCATGACCTTGCTAATGGCCTATCATGCGCGGCGATATTGTATCGCCCTTGGAGCTCGATATTGGAGATGCGCACATTCCACGATGCGTTGTGTTCTCGACGTTCGAGGCCTGCGCCAGCCTCAACCACCGGTGAGCAAGTAGCCGAGCTGATGTATTGCAGCACTATGACAAGAGAGAGAATGTACCTGCAGTGTACTTGCACCATTACAGACCGTTCTTGAGCGCTCTTACCAGCTTGTACTGGTCGTCGAAAGCAAATGGCGGTATGTGTAGAGCCATCTTCGCTCCAATGGCTGGTACCACCTCACCAACTACTTTGCTTAGTGTTGCAACACTCAACGTAGGATCAATTCGACTGCAGAGATCAGCCAGGATTGGAGGCCATGGCAGTCCTGCTGTTGCGCGTTTGCACTACGTCCGGCCACGAACCCACCGTCGCTTACATCCTTTTCCGATCTGGGTTCTAGCTCTCGAAGGCAAGGAAGCGATGCAACTTATCTGGGGAGGACATGCATTGGTGCTTGGTTTCTCAACTTTGCAATGGCCAGGTAATTGGATGAACGTTCCTTGTCGGTGGCTAGATGCAGCGTCCGGCGACATCAAGCTGCGGGCAGCCATGAGGAAAGCCGGCAGCCATGAGGAAAGCCGGCAGCCGATCGAAACGACGTGGAAATAAAAGTATCGTCGGCGCAGCTTTTACATGGAAGTAGCGCAAGCGACAGGCGCTTCGGCAACGCGGCGCCTGCTGGTAGGCAGTCATAGAGAGTACGCGACTCCACAGCGAAAGGCCGTCGAAACAGGTGCACTACTCTAGTCTGCCGCCCGGCGGTAGGTGAATGTAGTGACTTGAGGCCTGCGTAGACGTCCTCGTGTGCGTTGGCGGACTGCGAGAGGTGATCTTGGACCATGGCGGTGCGAGGGAAGAGCATGCGTTGACAGGGGGAAGCATCCGGAGACTTCAGTGGCTTCATGTTCGCGTCGCTGCGAGACAAATGCAAGACATCGCGCCGAGGCTCCCAGCTTCTTGAGCCTGAAGCCCATGATGATCTGATGCCTGACCAATCGGCTTTCGACCACCACAAACGCATCTCATACGCGCTGCGCAACTACCCGCATATGAGTTTTGCGTAATGAGTCCATTGCTCGTGTGGCTTGCTCGCTGGTGAGCAGCGTTTTGCCCGGGTAATTCAGAAACTGAGCGTTGAGGACCATTGGTAGCGCAAGCTCGTGAATCGGGCGCAGTGAAAACCCCAACAATATCCCCGCGGTATCACCGCCCCAGGCTCATTCTTTCCATCGTCGACAGATAAGAGGCGGATTCATGATATCGCTACTCCAGGGGATCTGAACGCTCTCCGATTGTAGGTTGTGCGCGCGCGGCAACGTGAGCGGCAATGAGGTGCCTCTGGGTTCTTACGGGGCGCTGCCAAGTCCTATCGCCACAGCCCCTTCATGACGCCGTTGGAACGTCCGCGCTTCGTCGACTCGTGGAGTTACGTCGCCTTCTCTGGGATGCAAAGACGCGATGTTGCTTCCGGGGTGCTGAACTTGCGCTGGTGGTGGTTGGTATGGCACATTATTTTGGACTTGGAAAGTCAAAGTCCTCCAATATGCAGGGTCATCGCGCGAGTCTCGAAACGGCCAAGTCGCTCGCGTGATCAGGTGTCGCGCTCGTGTTCTCGCGTTTCTCGACCGAGGCACCAAGACGTCCTACTCACATCCCAGCGCCTTCAGTGGCGGAGCGATACCACCACACCAGTCGGATCAGGTTGGCCATCTCGAGCGCGCTGCTGTATTGACGAGAAATCTCATTTGCGGTCTACAAGGCTAGTGGTCCACTGTCCAGATGGTCGATCCCAAATCCACCGCTTCGTGGGATACCATGTCAAGCCGAAGTAGTGACTATCGGTACACACCACCTTGCACCGTTGTTGTAACACAGCAAATCTAAAGGTGTCCTCCAAGAACATATGGATATTGGGAAGTAGTGCGGTTAGTTTTTCCATGATGTGCTATGCCGTCGCGCTCTTGCCCGCAATCACCAGGTCTATACAAAGTACCGTGAGACCCATAGCGATTATGTCCGGGCAGAAACAGACTAAGTCAATCTTGCTAAGCGTAATTCATCTACAGATGTTCTTCAGAAGCCGCTCCACGCAGCTGCAGTCTTCAATGTCGACTCTTAACTCCTGCAACTTCATGCCGCACTTGTTAACCAGCGCGCGGCAGAGAAGGCTAAGACAGTATTTAATTCAAGCCATAAATGCTGCATGTTGTGATGTTCATCGCTTCAAGGGGATTTCCGCTAGTAGTGACTAAGTCTTTACTATTCAAGAGACGTTAATCTACTATTGACGTAATAGTAAAAGGCAGTGTATGGAGGCGCATGTCAAACCTCACCACATCAGGAGAAGTTATATCAGAACATTCCGCAAACGAGAAAGGATGTTTCAATACAAGCTCTAATTCTACCTTCTCCCAACATCATCATGACTACCATGCAACAAACTTCGCTCTCCCGAGCAAACTTTCCCCATGTCTCAGACCCGCGTTCAAATCGTGTTAACGCGGGCCTCATACCCCGACTCCAGCGGTTTGACATACTCTACATTACTGTACGAACACCCTGCCACCAGCTCATCCCCTTCGAATGTCGCTTCTTAACGGGCGTCATGTACCTAGGGAGCGGCGGATCGATCCTTTTGCGACAAAAGCCCCTTGAGACATCAGGTGGAGCAGAACCATGGCGTCGTCTACGATCGGTATTGGATGAATGTTCAAGGTTGCTTTCAATGGAGCGCAGGGCGATAGTGCGCTGATAAGTTTGTGTGGCTGGCTGGTAGTCCAAGTAGATGACTATGTCAGAAGATGATGACGATATTGTGGCTATAGATTCATCTTGAGACGGAGTCGCAAAGTACTGCGCTGGTTTGCGTCGAGCTGGCAGGGCATCGGTGACAGATGGAGATGGGCCGGGGCGGATGCTGGCTGGTAGTGGGCTAGATGAGCCAAGTCCGAAGGTACTGGGTATAAGATCGACTTTATTGGGCAATGGAATGGGTGGCGGCTTGTGTGGAGCTTCTGGTCTTCCTTGCGTCGTGGGAGGTGATGGATTAGAAGAAGATGCCTTTGCGCTTGGTGGAGCCGCGGCCGCCCTTCGTCGGGAAGTCGATGGTGGAGTCGGTCGAACGCTTCGTACATTGGTAGATGTTTGAGTACTGGCAGTTTGGCTTGGAGAATGGAGAATGGGGCGATCTGGTTCAGTCTCGTTGGTTGTAGCCTGACTTTCCTTGCCCTCCACAGGCGAACCTGAGAAGTCGTTCAATTGCTCCATGTGGTGCCTGCAACGATTCAGCAGTTCAGAATTCCCCCCGACTTTCGCGCGGCTAGCTGGTAGGCGACAGCGGTGGCCTTTTGCCGTGGTTGCGCGACAGGATGGCATGTTAGGTATCGCGAGCCCGTGAACTTGGCGTTGATGTATAGTCTAAGTATGGAATTGACGTGGCGTCATGTCACATCGTATGCGTTGGCCCTTCCAGAGACATGCGTCCGGTTCATACGATGGTTGTTGGGCATGAAGGC